AAAAATGCCCTTAAGTGAATAAAACGATTACAAAATATGACTTTGCTAAAAAGACAACACTACCCTTTTAATTAACAAATAAAAACCAAACAATCCCTACATAAAATTACAAAATCAGCTCAAACACACATAAAAATTCTCCCATCTTCTTCAATCTGAAAATCTCAAAAATGTCGATAGCTTAAGAAAAAAATTATTTCGGTCAATTACTTCGAATCGGTAAGTATTCGGCTGCTAACAGCCAACATTTTCGGCTATTAACAGCCGATATGTGCGGCTCTTAACAGTTGATAATTTCGGCCATTAACAGAAATTTTTGCGGATGTTAACAGCGAATATTTAGGCTGTTAATTTGGCTGTTTTGTTTTTAATAAGTTTCTATTTGCCTGTAAGCTGAATTTTTGATTGAATATTTACAAATTCTGTTTTGACATGAACATATATGAGGATTATACTCTCGATTTGTTATTTTGGTGATTTTGAATTGGATGAAAATAATCAATGAGCATGGAAATGGACAAGTGACGAACAAAGTAATATGCCAACATATATAAAAGTGACTACATCGTACGACGAATTGTACCATGATATACAGAACAAGCTGAACGTTGATTCATCTTGATACAATATGGTACTGAGATATCACTTCCAAGAGCATTTGCCATTTTCAATTCCACCTACAAAGGTTACATCTGATATTGACGTGAGTTATCTATTTGATTTGAACAAAACGCAAATAACACCAATTTGTGTGACTTTAATGATGAAGGACGATGCAGAAGGTAGAAATGAACATTCAGATAGAGCTAGTGATAATGCAAATGATTTTTGGGATACAGTGGAGGTAGCTCGCGAGGATGACACTAATATTTATGAGACAATTGTTCCTCATCGTGACGTCACTGAGACGCAAATAATTCAATCGATAGTTTAGGATAGCGAGAATGTAAGTGCATTTACAAACGAGGATTTAATTGCTTTATCCCGTCAGAGACATGAGTGGGGTGGGAGCTCAAGGGCCGGAGCGAGCGGATCTTCATCTAATTCTTCACGTGTGGTTCCTGATGATGAAGATCTGCATGTTGAGCAACTGTTTGAAACGAAGAAAGATTTGTATAAAGCTGTGGACATGCTAGCATTAAAACTCAACTTTGAGTTCAAGGTAAAGAAATCAAACAAATCCTTGCTGACACTTGTTTGCGTCGACGACAGTTGCCGTTGGCGGTTGCCAACGACTAAGATAGATACGAATGAGAATTTTGTAGTTCTCAAGTATAAACGAGGACATACTTGTAAATTAGAGATTCGTCAAAATGATCACAGGCAAGCTCGATCATAGTTTATTGGTCAACAGATAATGTACAAGTATCAGAACCCACAGACGATCTACAGACCTTCAGAAATCATTAACGACGTTCGACGAGAGTACAAAGTGGTCATGAGCTACCAGAAGGCCTTGAAGGCCAAAGAATACGTGTTGGAGGATTTAATAGGCTCGACCGAGGAGAGTTATGCTAAATTGGCCAGATGCTGCCATAATTTAGGGACAACTAATCACGGTTCCACTTTTTCATTGAGACAGAAGGCAAGAATTGTTTTAAGTATTTAT